CATTTTTCAGACCGAAGGGCATTACGTTGTAGTAATAGTTTCCCGAGCTGGTCATGAAAGCGGTGCAGTGCTTGTTGCCTATTGCCATTTGGATTTGGTTATAATCTGAATAGGCGTCCATAAACGATAGTATTTTATAACCGGCCGAGTTGTCGACCAACATATCAACATTAAGTAAAGGAAATGTATCTTTCGGGCATGCTCGATTGAGATCGGTGTAGTCAATGCACATTCGCCATTTTCCATTATTTTTCTTGACAAGTACAACATTTGATAGCTAGGTTGAATATCGGGCTTCATAAATAAAATTCGCCTCTAGAAGGTCTGTTACATCTTTTTCAACAGCCTCCGTTTTCTCCGGAGACTGCCTACGTATACGTTGCACTATTGCCCTAGCGGTTGGATCGATGGCGAGTTGGTGACAGGCGACCTTAGGGTCGAGTCCGGGCATCCCCGCAGCGCTCCACACGAACAGATTTGCATTCTCGTGCAAGCAAGCTTTGATTTGCTTCCTCGCCAAGTCGGGGAGTCCGGTGCCAATCTCCACTCCTCTGCTTGGGTCTTCACCGAGGGGAATGAGTTTGAAGTCCCCGTCCGGAATTGGTCGAAGGGGGACTTACTCACCGTTAGGAGGCTCATCCTGGTCGAAGCGGGTATCCAGGGATACTGAGTCGACCTTTGGAGAGGCTCTCTGCTCTTCCGCTCTGACGGGCTCTGACCTCTGAGGTTTTGGTCGTGTAGTTGCAGCTCTCTTAGCGGGCCTTATGCTGGTGTCAACCGTGTCGCGTCCCTTGGATGCTGCGTTAAAACACCTTCGGGCAGCTGCTTGGTCACCTTGGATAGTGGCGACCCGTGCCCTCTTGGTGTAAAACTTCATTTTTAAATGGACGGTGGAGGGCACTGCGGTCAGCTCCGCCAGTGTCAGCCTTCCCAAAATGCAGTTGTAGAGAGAGGGGCAATCAATGACGAGGAATCACACCTTGACTTGCCTCGTAGCTATATCCTCGCCGAATGTAACCATGAGCTCGACGTATCCCCAAGGCTTGGAAGTTGAGCCGTTAAAGCCCTGCAGGTCCGACCCCACGTAAGGTGAGAGGTGAGAGTCGTCGAGCTGCAGGGTTCGGAACAGTTGGCTGTACATCACATAGACAAAACTTCCTTCATCGATGAGGATGCAATGTACGTCGAAGTTGTCCATTCTCGCTCTTATCAGCAGAGGGATGACCGAATTGGGGGCTCCTCCTGGGAGCTCTTCGAGGTAGAAGGTGATTGGCTATGACCTGCCTCTCACCTTTTCAAAGGTCACCATTTGAGGGGGGGCTGTGTCGACCAACTCGTCCAGCTTCCTCTTAACTGAATTTATGGTCAAATCACTGAACCCTCCACCATTGATGACCATTACGGAGGGGAAGTGTTCCCACCTGCTGTGCATCGACAGAGGTTCTTGCAAGTGATCAGGGACGTAGAAGTCATCGGGTCTTGTGACGGAGAACGCGGTTTGGATGGGAACTGACTCGTCAGATGGTCGGGCATCCTCTTTTGCTTCCCTCGTCTCACGGGTGTCCCAACGAGGAGCGTCGTTTCGTCAATACTGTGCGAGTCTCCCCCTTTTATGAGGGTCTCGATGGCGTCCTTGAGGTGGACGCAGTCTTCGGTCAGATGGTCGTGGCTCCGGTGGTACTGACAGTATTTGCTCCGGTCCACCCCGGGTTTAGAAGGAGCTGGACAGGGACGTTTGACGCCACCATCCTTGAAATCTGTACTTGCGCACTCCGCTAAGATGCGCTAACGGGAAGCCGTGAGCGGAGTGTATTATGTGAACCGTCCCGAGGGCCCCCTCTGCTCCCGGTCGTCTCGGGGTTTATCGTCCCTTCTCTTTTCCCCGGTGCATCGAGGAGGGGCGGTATCTTGTCACGGATTGTTGCTGGATCTGCAGTTTCTGGGGTCTCGGGCTCTGTTGGCCGCTTCCCTTTCCTCATAGTGCATGTAGGCTCTGGCCTTTTAGAGGAGGGCATCGAACGTTCGGGGTGGTTCGATGCCCACGACTTTTCTGAATTCGGTGCCGAGGAGGAGCCCCCTCTCCAACAGGTATCTCTTCATATGGTCCATGCAGGGGACCTGGATGGCTTCCCGATTGAAGCGGTTAATGAATTCCCTCAAGGTCTCATTGTGCTTCTGGATGATGGCCTTGAGCGTCGCTTCGGTCTTCGGGTGTCGCCGTGAAGTAGTGAACGAGCTGATGAACTGGTTCTTCAAGTTTCTCCATGAGGTAATTGACCCCGGGGCGAGACCCTTGTACCAGTCCATAGCTGCTTTCCTCAGGGTCGTGGGGAACAACCGACATTTGATTGGTCCCCTGACGTTGTGGTAGTGCAGCATGGCTTCGATTCGAACCCGTCTATGTGGTCAATCGGGTCGGCGACGCCATCATATTCTTTTAAGTGGGGAGACTTCTCCATGCCTGGGAGAATGGGCGCCTCCATGATAGCTTATGACAAGGGACCGCAGGGGTCGTCCTCTTCACTCCGTTTCGGGGAGCGGGACGGGGATCCGATGTATTGTTGGTCACGGTGTCCCTGGTCGTGCGAAACATTCCTCGAGCAATGTGACCATTGATAGTTTCCTCTGTGTCTGTCCCTGGGAGGTCTTCGTTCTTGCCGCGAAGGGCCGTGGTCGTGCCTTCCTGCTTCGATGAGTGGTTCCCTCTCCAAGGGGGGTCGTCGCCCGATTGGTCTAGGCGACGGGCTTCGAGAGATGTCCTGATTCTGTCTCTGCGGGGGAGATCGGGGATGTTCCTCTATTTGTCGAGGGGGAGGAGATTGAGGCCTCTTGTGTCTTCTAGGGGGCCTTCAGTCGTCTTCGAGTGCTCTCAATCTTCCCCCCTGGGCAAAGATGAGATACTTGGCCTGATTAATCGCTGCAAACAGTGCCCTGATCGTGGCGTTTGCCCCAGCGGGGACAGGGACTTCGTGGAATTGGACGGCTGGATAGTTTAGAGGAACTGGGTGATCTTCTTCAAGCCGAGGAGGGATTGATGAAGATGAAGCCGTGACTCCATCCCGGTAGTTAGAAGGCCCGAGGATGTTGCCGCCGGGGACCGTGTTATGGCCGGTGATACCAACTTTGTCGGGGCCGACATTATTGTCGATAATGTTGTTGTTAGCTTCAATGACGCAAATGTTCTGGTTGTCTTGAGTCTGGTCAGCCATGACAGTCGAGGATGGTTTTAACTTTGGTCTTTTAAGTGAAGAGAAGACGGGGAAACTTAGTTTCCCACAAACGGCGCCACTGATCGTACCTGATCAGAGTTGGACCATCATAGTTGGCTTCAGGCTGGATTTGAAGGAGATGGGGGGCGGTACCTACAAGACACTCCGATGACAAAATAAGAGACGGAATGAGCAAGCAAGTGAGTATATAAGTGTGAATGAATGAATACCCGACCCTCTCATGAGAGAGGATATTTATAGCCCCCAGCGCTGAGCCAAGTTCTCCACCATTGGGCCACGCAGAGACCCAATAACGGGAACTGCCAGAGTTTACGTGAGTATGGAGTCCAGCAAATGGACTCCCCCCTGGTCAACCGCTCCGCAAGAATAAGGTTAGATCCGAAATTCCCGGTGGACAGTTTGATGTGTTCGTTGAGAAGTGGTGGGCCACATTCCCCAACGGTTAGAGGGGGAGGTGCCCCACAATATCTAACTTAGGCCGTTTGAACATTCTTTTCGTAGGACAAACGTAGACCCAGTCCAAATCAATAATAATAATAATTTTTAAATAGTAAAATTATTAATATTTCAATTTTGATTTTAAATAGAGATTTGATCTTAAATTTTTATCGGAAAGAGTTATAAGTTCTCTTTTTTCATATATCATTTAATAATCACTTCATAACATTATTTAAATTTATAATTTTATATAAATTATAATTAGTATTGTAATCATGATTTTATGTATAAATCGTAAAAATTAAATAAAAAAATCTTACTATAAATGTAAAATTTAATATTAATTATTATATTTTATTATGTAATAAGATTTGTAATTATAATTGAAAATGATATAGTAAATATAAAAGAAAAGAAAATGATTTGTAATTAAACCCAACATTATTGTTATGACTGATAATAATTTTGTATATATTTTAATACATGTTTACTTTTTTATTTATTAATATGATATATTATATTAATTTATTATTTCGTGACTTATTAATTTAATTTAATCTATTTATTTTTATTATTTTATTTTTTCAATCATAATCAGTTATTTTTATTTTGTAATATTAAATTTTTACATATTATATATTATATCAAATCTATTATTTATTAATATTTTTTAACCTTAATAAAATTATAATTTGTATATTGGATATTCAAAAATCAATCAAAATTAAATCGTATAAAATTAGATTAGATCTGATCATATTTTTTTAATTAATTGTTCAAAATCAAATCAACCACATAAAAATTAATCTTTAAATTAGACAAGTTTTTAATTCAAAATCAATTCAAATCAAACCCCAAACTATATGATAAAGGTGCGTGAGTCGTAATTTTCAGAACATGGAACCACATTTTTAGACCTACCCTAAGTCTAAAATCTGGGAGGCCCAATTCCTCCGCTCATAAATGTCAAAAATGTGTATGATTTTCTCAAAAAAATAAAATAAAAATAGCATGAAGAACAACATTTTTAATTTTAATTTTTTCATAAAAAAGAAAAACAAAAAAAAAACCCACAATATATCAGTCTCTCGTGTTTGATCCTGATGTTTACACACACACCCCGAGAGCCCCCAAACCCTCACCTTATTCTCTCTCTATCTCTCTTCTTCTGAGTCTCTTCTTCTATCTATCTTATACCCTGCAATTCGCAAACCCTACCCCCTCTCTCTCTCTGAATCTTCAATCGCACTTTCACCTTCGCATTCGCATTCCTCAATCGAATCCCTTCCCTTTCCCGATCTATCGTTCCCAATTCCACCAATCTCGAACTCCATGGCGATGAGCGACGGCAAGATGAATCTCCCCGACGATCTCTTCTCCTCCAAACTCTCCGATTCGCACTCCTCTCTCAAAGGTGAATTGATTTGATTTGATTCGATTTGATTCGATTCATATTTTCGTGTATTTCGAATTCAATTATTTTTAGGGCTTTTTATTTGTTTGTGCCTAATTCGTTCTTTCTTTTCGTAATTGTTAGTTACTTTATTTGTATGGATCCGTTTTGAATCGAAATCTCTGATTCGTTCGGTGTGTGTTAATTGAATGCTTGTTCATGTTTGATTTTGTGTTTGCGTAATTGCGTAATTCCGTAATTTTGTTTTCTTATCTTCTAGGTTGACTTTTAGTTCAGATTCATGGTTGAGATCTATGTTTGTTTAGTTCTTTTTTTGTGTCTATTCTAGGTTTTCCTCAATGCTTTAGTGAGTGTGATTTGTGAACTCGTGTGGTTCTCTTTTTCCTTTTGTGTTACTATTTGTTTGATATGAATAAGTGAAGTTCAGTATGTGTTCTTGTTAATCTGAATCTGGAGATGTTTTTTTTCCTTTTGAATGTTCGTTAACAATTAATTGCTATGGATGAATTGTTTTCTACAGGTGAGTGAGGTTGGCTTGATTTTATTTGTGTGTTGATGTGTTTTTTTATACAATTTGATTTGAGGATGTGTGTTTTTGATTGGTAGTGGATACTGTAGATCCCATCACTAAGCATTTATGTGAGAAATAGCTTTTTTGTAAGAACTTTTCTTTCCAGATTTTGAGAAGAATCAAAATCACTACTGTTTAACTTTTTATTTTTCTCAAAAGAAAGACCTAATTAATTATGTTGCAATGTATTTGACTTTTTTTAATTGAATGCTGATTTGAATTGTATAGCAGCTAATATTTGCGTTTTGGTTGTGCTAGATGAAGCTTCCGGAGGACATGGGGAGAAAGGGATTGCAGCACTACTTGATGATTCAAAAGGTATCTTGTCTATATGTGTGTACAAATGAATTTGAGACTGACATTTAGTTGTATTACTCATATTTTTGAATATAGTGTGGCGGTTACTTGACGTAAGCTGGTTTTATTTTCAGATCAAGTGTCATCTGACAGCAGCATACCCTTATCACCACAGTGGCTTTATTCCAAACCAGTTGATGCGAAGCAAACTGCCAACCCAGTGGGGGTATTTTTACCATTTTTTATGCTTCTCTCATTATCAGAGTTTTTGTTTGCTTTTCAATAAATCAGTTAATATGTTGGTTTGGCTCTCTTTTGCTTATCATTCTGGAAACTATAGAGTTTTAACATGGCATTGATGATATTCCTGTGCTCATAAGCTTATTGAGTCTGTTTGATTTTCCAATAAGGCTTCCTTCTTTTAAGAAGCAAGTGAGAAATACTCTTAGGATCACATAACCTTTGAGTTTTGTTTGCAGTTTAAGACTTGATGCTATTGTTATAAATCATAGCAGTCACCATTTGTCGTATGTTATTCTATCTGAGTCACAACTCATTCCTTTGATTTTGAAGATTCTGCCAAAATTATGAATGTCGTTCTTGATACAGTTGCTTTTCAGAATTATGGGATTGTTAAGATTATGGTCCTTCTAGCTAGTTCCTTTACGGAACTAGGTTAAGCAATAAAAAAGTATTTTATTGACATGTACGACAACCAATGCATTAGTAATACTAAGTATGTCGGTGCCTCTAAGGGCATTGGTCAGCATTTTCCCAAAACTATTAATGATGATATAGGTGTTCAATTAGCATAATAAAAATATCGTAGAAGATTGGAAATTCTATAATACAAAAATGAAACTACAAGACAAGATAAATCTTGTGTTTTCTTTGGAGCTCAGAATTTTCTTTTGCCTATGAGTAATATCAGGTGATTAGTCAGGTTCCTTCTAAAAATTGGTTATGCATGTGTTCTTGTTTTGATGTCTGAATGTATTGTTCTTATGTTGCAAAGTCTAATGTAATGCCGGTTAGTTTTATCTCTTTGATTTTTGTGTGATAATGGGAAAGTGATAGTATATCAATATATTTTGCTCTACGCCTCAGGTAAATTCCAATGATCCTGTACTGAAGGATAATTGGCGTCTGGAGGGGTCCTTGGACAAGAAAGATTGGAGAAAGACTGTTCCTGATGTTGACATCAGTCGCCGGTGGCGTGAAGAGGAGAGAGAAACAAGTTTGCTTGGCAGAAGGGATCGTAGAAAAGAAGATCGTCGGTTGGAGAACACCTCAACCTCTGATAATAGATCCTTGCCTGCTGATCGCTGGAGTGATAGCCGGGGTTCTGGCCATGACTCTCGAAGAGAGAATAAGTGGTCATCAAGATGGGGTCCTGAAGAAAAAGAGAAGGACTCTAGAAGTGAGAAAAGGAATGATGTGGAGAAGGAAGATGGCCATGCAGAAAAACAATCTACTGGTGCTAGCAACCGCGCTGTTTCTGATCGGGACACTGACTCCCGTGATAAATGGAGGCCACGACATCGCCTGGAATCTCAAGCAGCTGGTGTGGCCACATACCGTGCGGCACCTGGATTTGGGCTGGAGAAAGGACGCACAGAGGGACCCAATGTGCGATTTTCACCTGGAAGAGGAAGGGCAAATTTCAATGGAAACTTGCAAATTGGAAGGCCTCCCATAGGCTCTAGCGTTGGATCTGTACTCATGGATAAGAATAAAACTATACTGGGGAAGTCTAGCCTTGGTGCTGATTCATATTGCTACCCAAGGGGTAAGCTTCTTGATATATATCGTAAGCAAAAGGTCGATCCAACTTTTGAGAGCATGCCTTCTGACGTGGATCATACTTCACCAGTAACTCAAATTGATTCTGTAGCACCATTAGCATTTGTTGCTCCTGCAGATGAGGAGGAGGTATGTAGAATATATAAGATGAGGAAATTTTTTTATTATGCCTTAATGATGCGATGTTTTGTTCTTTTGTGTTCTTGAATGGCTGCTTGCTCTTTAGCATTGTTATTTAGTTTTGCATCTTTCTTTCAGGCTGTCCTTAGAGATATATGGAAGGGAAAAGTTACCAGCAGTGAAGTCTCAGACTACTCCTTTAGAGGAAAGGATGGAGGGTCAATTGATGATATTTCTGGTGATAAATCTTGCATGTATTTTCTTAGTTCCTTTGAAATAGTCTACCCTTCTCTCTCTTATCGGTCTCTCTTGGCTTATTTCAGGTTCTGGTGTTGCTTTAACTGAAGGAAAACAACCTTCAATCGGCAGCGGTGGAAAGGTTATATCGGGAAATGAAATCTTAAACGAGTCCGATAAATTTTTTATTGGATCAGCATCAACTACTGGAGGTTCATTGACAAATGTAGCTGAGGGTGAGAATAATATTTTTCTCTATTTAGGTTGCTTTTATCAATTAAAAAAATCATTTTTGATACTTACATTGGTTCATTTTCAGAGGTTGCAAGTTTTCAAGAAGGCACACAGAAACATGGGCCAATTATTGGTATGCATTGGAAAGATGATAGCTTCGGTAGCAACATTAGGGAGGGAATCATTCACAGAAAAAAGGTTGTCGAATCAGAAGCTTTTGGTTACCATCAGGGACAACTTTCTGCTTTTGAGGAACAAGCAAATCAAGATGGGATTAAGTCGATGGCTTCAGAAATTAATACAAGCCATCCTGATGATCCTCGTTCCCTCTTTGATTATTCATCTCTGCGACAAAGTCCAAGCATTAATCATCCACATGACTTGAAAATGAATGAAAAAATATATCCATCTGACAGTGTCACTGCTCCTGAGGAGTTGAGTTTGTGCTATTTGGATCCTCAAGGAATGATTCAAGGACCCTTTCTTGGGATTGACATCATTTTGTGGTTTGAACAAGGGTTTTTTGGGATTGACTTGCCTGTTCGTTTGTCAGATGCCCTGGAATCATCTCCATTTCAAGAACTTGGTGACATCATGCCTCACCTGAGAGCCAACACAGGGTTAGGTTCTGATAGTAACATGGTTATTCAGTCAGAACCATCTGATGGCGTTGGAAGGAACCTGAAAGTTGATGTAAATACATTTGACTATAATGGGTCTTTTGACGACGATCAACCGTGGTCTTCATCCCGACCTGATTCTACATCCAGTGTTGGTATTCCGATCCAATTACCTAATCAAAGTTATCACCCTGAAATCAATTTCTCTGATGAGCAGTGCTTCGATAACGTTGTTGCACAAGATGATGGTAAGTTATTGTTTTCTCATGTTATTATTTTTCTACTTTTATTTTGCTTATTGCCAGTACAATTCATGTGGTTTGTATCTCAGTTCAAAATGAAATCAAACACACCACACAGTTTATGTATTCTTCTGGCCTACACTCAGTGCTCTGCTCTGGCCCTTCTCCTATTCTTTCTATATTTTTTGGGCCCCCAATTCTTGGTCAAAGTTCTCTCTTGCTCTCTCCTTAGTACCCACTTGCTCTCCTTTTTAACTTGCTGCTCTGTTGTGTGTCTGCTGCTCTCCCTTTAATTTATGATGACTTGAATCTTGAAGTACTATGAAGTTCACTTATGATATGTCAGTTTGTTTATTCTTGCTTATATCACCTGTTTTTTATCTAAAAATGCCACGTTTGTATATATATTTTTCATTTTATATTTTATTATGTATCATATGACTTATAAGATTCAATTTACGACACAGTGAATGTCTTCCTTGTCACTAATGTTCTAATCACAATTTGATTACCTTAATTTGTATGTCTTTTATTTGTCTTGTAATCATTTGTACTCTCTGTTTATATATTTGTAGGTATCACATCATCGAAATTGGCTGGAAGCAACAATGACAACCCTTTGATGAGGCCTGGGGATGCGAATGCCTCATATTCCCATCATACTGGAAAACCTTCAAACGAAGTTATTGTGAATGATGCTCTTAACATCGAGGCTGATAAGTTGCATCCCTTTGGCTTATTAATGTCTGAACTAAGAGATGGCTCTCATTTAAGGCGTGCACAATCCTCTAATAGTTCTCTGAGATTGGGTGACCAGGGCCATTTTACTGATCCGTTAAATGATAAAGATACTCATTTTACTGATCAGAGCTCTATGGGTGGCATGGTAAATCCGTCTTTCAGGGATACATGGACTGATGAATATGGGATAAATAGGCATTATAATCCTAATCAGCGTGTAGGTTCACTAGAAGACCAGTTCTTGTCTCGAATGGGACAGAACTTTAATAATTTTGACGTGGCAGACCATCTAATGTTGCAAAAGCTGCAGAAGGAACGGCTTCAGCAGCAGCAGCAGGCTGAACGTCTTCAGCAGCAGCAGCAGCAGCAGGCTGAACGACTTCATCATCAGCAGCAGGCTGAACGACTTCATCAGCAGCTGCAGGCTGAGCGGCTTCATCAGCAGCAGCAGGCTGAACGGCTTCATCAGCAGCAGGCAGAACGATTTCAGCAACAGCAAGCGGAACAACGGCTTCAGCAGCAGACTAATATACCTAAACATTTCCCTTCACATCTTAACGGGTCAGACTTAGATAGATTTCCTGGTTTCTCTCCATCTCAAAGTAATAACTCTGGTATCCAGCAAATGATGCAGAATCCCGGCTCAGATTTGGAACGTCTTTTCGAATTGCAGGCTCAACAACGCCAACTTGAGCTTCAACAACAGCAAGATATTCACCATCAACAACTACTTCACCAACAATTGAAACTACAGCCCCAACAACAGTCTCAAGCTCAGTTAATGCATCAAGATATTCTTGAACAGTTAATGAATCACCAGATACCTGATCCTAATTTCGGACAATCAAAACACGATCTTTCTAGGGATAACTTGTTAGATCAGGTACAATTGAGGAGATATCTGTACGACTTGCAGCAGAATTCACATTCTTCAGGGCACCTTGATCCACCGGCAGAGCAGTATATTCAAGCTAATATGGCCCTTAATGCTGGGCAAGGAAGGCAGGCTGATTTGTCAGAGCTCTTGTTGCAAGCAAGGCATGGAAATATATTGCCATCAGAACATGTTCGTTTTCAGCAAGAGCAGGTGCAAGCTCAGCAGTTATCTATGGCTCTTAGACAGCAGTTAGGTCTGGATGGAGAAAGACATTTCGGTAGGTCGTGGCCAATTAATGAAACTGGACAGTTAGTTAGAAATCCATCAAACCACCAACTGGGTCATTCAGCTGGATTTAATGTCTCAGAAATCCACAAACAACAACAGAGGCTTGTCGCACAAGATGAACAATTAAATTTTATGGGAAGGAATCATCTTGAGCAGAACCAAAGAGGATTCCATGATCATTCTATGATGTTTGAGAGGTCTTCACCTGTTTCTGTGCAAGGAAGAGAATTACTTGAACGCCGTCGCTACATGCACCCAACTGATCAACTGGGTTCTTTGTCTTCTCATCACAACCTACAATCATCTGATGATCTTTTTGGCCATCATTCCCTCTCAGGGAACAATGGCCATGTGGATAATAACTGGATTGATCCACGGTTGCATCTTCAACAACTTGAATCTATGAGGCAGAGAAGAGAGTTAGGGGATAGCATTACATCAGCAGATCTGAGCATATCTGCGTCTGCTGGAGGTCATGAAGAGAGTTCAGGACGAGGTTTTGTGGACCTTCTTCATCAAAAACTGGGTCTTCAATCTGCACAATCATCAAGTGTTGATAAGTGGCATCCCCTTTCATCAAGAAGTCACGATAAATCTTGGCATGTCCCTGAGGCCAACACATCAAGTCATCCGTTCGAGCTTCCTCTGGATCAGCAATCTCATCTGAATGATCCCTTTCTAGAAAGGACTCAGAGTGCGAAGTCCAGTGGGCTAATGCACGATAATTTAACTAACATACATATAAATGATCATTTCAACAATCTAGGGAATGCTGAAAGAGTGCCTCTCCGGTCCAGATCTGGTTCATTACTTGAAGAGCAATCACTGTTATCTACGAATAAGGATGCTTTGCATCCCAATTATAGAATTCCTTTTCAGATCGGTAAGTCATCTATGGAAAAAGACTTGTTTGTTCCTGGGATGTCAGACTTGTCAGAACAAGTGGAAAGCACAATGCCTTCAATGGAAATGCCTGCTATTGCTCACAGTAGACATAGCTCACTAAGCAGTGCAGGTAATATTCCCTGTAACGGCCATCCTTCATTACTTTGTGCTTCTATAAATGGTTGAATATGATTATAATGATTGGGATTATGCAGGAGGTGATGGTGGCTCTTTTGGTCGTGAGATGGGTTTGAATAGTTCACGAGGAGATGATGTTTCTAGTGACAGGTATCATTATTTTTGGCACACCTTTTTCAATTAAAACTGGTTATCTTTTATACACTTAACTGATATAAATTGATTTTAAAAAAGAATTTTTAACCTTGACGTTTGATTGTTTGTCTTTTATTGACAGGATTCCTCCTTCAACCAAAGGGTTTGATCATGCTTTCAATAAGCGGCCTCATGTATCTCGGGTTTTGTCCTCCCCGGACGTGCAGTCAGACCAACCATCTACAACTCATGTCAATCAGAATCAATTATTAAACCTTACATCCAGTGAAGGTGTGTGCTTTTTTAATTATGTGTTTGACCCTTTGTTAACTAACATCTAAACGGTTGGGAATTATAAGATCGATTGATGTGATGATAGGGAGACGAGAGCCGTCTGGAAATTTGTCAACTACTAGCTTGACTGATGCTCAAGCTGCAGGGAAGAAAGAGGCTCGGTTTAGATCTTCATCCTTCAGTGAAGGTGCTATGTCAGAGGCGTCATTTATAGATATGCTTAAAAAGCCTGTTCTTCCTGAGGCAGATGTGCATCCAACCAGTGGAGCTGGGGCAGAGTCGGTTGATGGTGGTCAGGCAGGGCGAGGTGGCAAAAAGAAGGGAAAGAAAGGGAAACAGATAGATCCCTCTCTTCTTGGTTTCAAGGTATCCAGTAACCGGATCATGATGGGTGAGATCCAACGCCCTGAAGATTAATTTTTTATGCTTGTAGATTGGCTGTAAAATTTTTCCATTCTTACTTTTCATATTTTTGTGGTATGGGGGTAACTAGTGTATAGTCAGTCCACTAGGGCATAGCTATAGTATTCCAATACAACAGTTTTATACAATAGGTGTAGTATGTTTGTGTCGAATAGTGTGTACAGTCACTTATGAGTGTTTGTATATACGGGGAAGCTTAAGCTTTTTAACGATTTTTTATTGGTTGAAGAGGTTGTGAAGAGATTTAAATTGTCATCGGCCTTAAAATTGCTGTTGATTGTTTAGGTTCGAAAATAATTGTTTTGCCTGATTAGAAGTATGTGATTAAGGGTGACAATGGTGGCCATGCTATCATAACTCCACCTTTTGGAACTTAAGTTGCTGACTTCTCGCTGAAATTTGTAGTTTTCAGGCTCATATTTATGATTATCCATCGTAGTTGTAATCATCTACATAATCGTAAAATGAATATATACAGGAGTTAATGTTGGTAGAAGACGCCTCCGCCTAATGAAATAACTAAATGAATGTTTTTTATTCAAGAGTAATTAATAAGAGATGATTTAATATTAGACGCCCCTTTTGTTTGATTATTCTCTGTTTATTGAACTTTTGGAAAAAAAACTTCAGTATGACAACTCAATTTATAGTGATAAATTTTACCTTATTTGTTTTATTTTGGTCTGTCCCTAGCTAAGAGTTTTACTATAATATGCACAAGAGAACAAAACAATAACTTTTGATCAGAACAAACGGTTGTAATTAACTCAAGAATTGCCTCTAAAATTAACTTAGCTAGGAGAGGATTGTTCAGCCAAGAATTGCCTCTAAAATACTCGCTGCCTGAGTGGTTGTGGAGAGGAACAATCAACGGTGTATTTCTTTTTTGAATGTCCGATTTTTTCGGTTTGGACCATTTGGTAGAGACAATGCTCGAAGAAGTGAAGTTATCATCTTGGAAGCGGTTGAGGATCAGAAACAACAACATGTGCTATGTTTTATCTCAATGGTGTTTTAATCCACGGGCATTGCCTCAGTGTGTGCGACTATTAATTGTGAGAAATCAAAGTCTGGGACAAAGTATCAATATGCAAAATTTAGATCAGTAGGTATTTTAGAAGATGTAATTGATATTGCAAGAATGATATGAGTTCGCCTAAGAGCGGGTTGTCTGCAGTATTTGAATCTTTAATCATTGTTAACTGTTGTCGTTTGATCTAGTTTGTTTTAAATCATTCTAAGTGGTTGGTTAAAGTGTGGATTATATAGCATACAGGGAGTTGTAGGTGCCATTGTGATTTAGCTGCTGCTAGACTTCTATGGTAGAGTGCACTAAATGATTATATCTCAATTAGAGTTGCAGTTGGGGTTGCGGCTGTTGTAGTATAGAGCTTTTTCTAAAATTGTGGTAATGTTTTGGTGGCTTCAGGCCCGTGGGTTGAGATTTGGTGGTCTAGATTTACTTTTGGTGCTGTTTGTATGGGATTGTTAGGCAGTTTTCATATTATACTGCCTTTGCTTTTGAACTGGTGTGTGTTTGTATTGTTATTCTCTTTTTGCAGTTTTCATATTATACTTATATATTGAGATAGTAATAAAATCTTTTTGCTGACATGAAATTTTTTAATTTAAATTTAATTAATTAAACATGTATAAATTTTATTAATATATTTTTTAAAGAATTTTTGAAATTATCTAAAACAAATTTTATGAGCTTAAAAACCCAAATCTAAGTAATTTTACTACAGCCCACAAATGCTCATTATATTGCGTTGTTTAAATCTATATAAAGACTTAAATTTCATCTAGAAAAACAATGTGGGACTTGTTCCAATAAGTGTTGTTGATTGCAAATAATAGAGGTGTTCGTGGATCAGTTTGATTCGGTTTTGAGAGAATCTGATCCTCAAACCGATAAAAAATATATGGATTGATTTGAATTATATTTTCAAATATTTTCGATAAAATTTAAACCGAATCAAACTAAAAAATAACAAATTGGTTTGAGTTGGATTGATCGAATATATTAGAAACAAATGTGCACAAATATTTTAAAAATATATATAATTTACATCAATTAATTTTTCAATATTTTTGTTTCTTCATATAGGTTGTGAATGTCATAAATGATATTTCATTTTTTTTCTTTCTTGAAGTTGATTATCTTATATTAGTTTTTATAATGATTATATAAATTATATGAAATAATATAGTTGGTTCGGGTAGACAAGTTCGCAGGTAGAATTTTTAAAATCTGTTGTTCTAACCAATTAACATCAAATTTCATTGATTTGATTTGATTTTTGCATAAATTATCAGACCTAAACACCTTAATTTGATTTGAATTCCGATTTGATTCGGATTTGTCTGAATGAACACCCCCTAACAAATAATAAGTGGTTCAAACCTTGAAAACATTTGTTTGTTTAACAAACTGGAACCTTCAGCAGTGAAACAATTCAATCACAAATCTCTTTCGCTTCTGTGTTCCGTTACCTTTACTTCAGACTTGGAGTACATTCATACATAACTAGAATACATAAAGCAATTGTAACTTGCATGAAGAAGTTTATAATGTCACAACTATGCAGCACAAGAAACCTGTATACATTCTAAAGCTATATCCACTGTATATCACTTATTGGGTAGGTGATAACGACATGAGAAGGTGTCCCCATAAGGCATTAATTTAGTTAATAGCATCTAGATCAAATTCCAACAACTATTAGTGCAGTCACATTATCTGAGTTAAAGTCTATTGGAAGACCATAACAAAATTTTAGAATTGTTTCAAATGTTTCGGATCCACCAGGAAAGCTTTCAAGCTTGAGCACATTGTCAGAATTTGAGATCCGAGGCTGAGCTTCCAACCATCCTATAGTCGCATTTTGATATCAAGGGATACTGTTACACAAAAAAGTAGGTATCATAAGAAAAATTAAGTTGCTCTGTGTAAACTGTGAAGAATTTCTTATCTTTAGTAGCTTTTTTTATTTTATTTTACAAAATCCTGAAAACATTAAACCAAGTTAAAACAGTGACCCTGTTTTTTTTCCTTCTTTCTGTTTTGCTTACTTTTATGAAGGATTTCCAATTCATGTCTAATGTTCTGTCTACCTCCTTCAACTCAATCTTGTGTCCACACAACAGTTTCCTCATAAATCTTTGCATACCAAATGGAAAGCAAAAACAGATTAGTGTCTGACATAATAAGAGTATTTAACCAAAGGAAGGATCTGAACAAATACTATAGTTTTATACAGAGACACAGAGATAGATTCACAAAGGTTGCTTAAAGCAGCCACAAGGTTGAATTGTTAATTGTCGGTGAAAACGGTTCAACCGTTCATTGTTGGTGAAAACAGGTAGTCAACGTGATTCAACACCAAAATTTGAAAGAAATTGTTCATCTTGTGATAGAAAGAAACACTCTTTAATGGAAGATGGAATTTTAACCAAAATAAATTGTCCTAAATATGGCAATTCCAATTCCTCTACTTACCATGTCCCACGTCTTTTTCTTTACACTTGATTTTAGTGTTTATATAATTGACACAAAGATACATTAGTAGTTGTTGTACTCCAAAATTTACCCTCTCATTTTCAAAACAAGTTGATTCAAGATACCTCCTCATACTCAAGATTCTCAATTGCTCAAGACTACTCAAGAATTGATCAGATGAATCTTCCTCCTAAATAATGACCTACAACTAGGGTTTTGGTATTCTAAAGGAAAATAAGACTTCTAATTCTTCAAGTGAGTTTCATGGTTCCTGATATGCTTCAAAGAATTCTCATGCCAAATTTCAAGTCTTACATCACAAATTTGCTCAGTCAATTGCTCAGATAAGTGAAAACCAAGTGTATTGGACAAAAAGTCAATTGTAGTCAACATACAGTCAAATTTCAATATTTTTGGTTAACATTTTGAAGTCACATTCATCATTTGACCAAGGGTTGATCATAACTCATCAAGAAAACTCAAGATTCATCAAACATGAAAAGTTGCTAAATTAGGGTTTTCTTTAGGAGAGAAGTCAACTGAATTTTGACCAAGCATAACTTTAACACGCTTCATTAGAAAATTCTCAACCAAAGTCTATTTTGATGGAAATTCAATTCTCTACAACTTTGTCTCTCTAAGCTCAAAGACTAAAAATGCTTCATTGGAGAGATAAAAGCCAAAACATTACATGTCATTTTAAAAGTCAACAAAAAGACACTTTTTGTCAAAGCAATTTACATCAATATAAATGATCAATATAGAGATTGTAGGGGACATCTCGAGGTTTTCAAAAAGTCCAAGATCATCTTCATATGACAAAAATTGAGTGAGTTATGATTTGTGCAAGTTGAGCAATTATGAGGAAATGTATGAAATCCAATTTGAACAAACTTGAATTTTTGGGCTAATGGACTTATCTTTCAAGGTCCAAACGTGTTCTTGACATCATAATGGACCTCTAAGCCCACGCATGCACCATTTTAATTTTTATTTCATTTATTTTGATTTTATTCATTTAAATTCAAAATAAAATCAAATAAATATTAAGTGGAGGTGCAAGGCTTAGAAGGCTTTTGATTCTTATCTTTTGGAGGCCCAAGATTGTATTAGAGACCGTGTGAACATATTCTTGGAACAAATCTTTAGGATTTTGTATTATTTCAAGTTATTTTCAAACAAAATAAAAGAAATAATTTCATGAAGATGTCCAAGCCCATCTTTGACCTAATTTCTTCTCCTATATATACTCTTCAAACTCAGACAAGGGAAACACGAAAAAAGCTGCTAAAGAACACTCTAAAAAATATCAAATTTTGTCAAAATTAGGGCAAACTTGTAATCATAGTTCCAGCCATCTTCAAGGGCAAGCAACCATTCAAATCGATTTCAGGAACATTACAGAGTAAGTTGGAATCATTCTTGATGATCAAAAGTGCCTGAAACATGTCCTACATGCATCATCGGTTTCATGTTTTTATCCAAATTCGTA